ATGGCACATCGCAGGGAGCTCCTAAGACTCTGATAATAGTAAAGTTAATGATGACAGAAATTGCTAAGAATTAGTAACCTAATAATGGTTTCACCCACCGACGTCTTGGACAATGATGTATGCATGTTCGAGTGCGTAGCCAAAAGCATTTCCCAAAATGCAAGTGTATTTTCCCTCGTCCTTCTTTGTGACATTCACCAAAGTCAATTTCTCACCGTGGAAATCAAACTTATTGCCCTTACTTGCAGGCACAATTACACTTAATACATGTTTGTCTGTTTCGTCTTTGTTCACGATTTCGTAGCGTGGACTTTCGATAGAACCGTCTGCTGTCCCGTTAGCCGAACTTCTTAAATGAAATAATTTGACTTGCTCTTCATTAGATTGTAAATCACTAAGTACCGTATCTCCACGAGTTCCTTTTGGGTTAGTTGGTAAACAATGATAAACTCTTTGTTTTGTTTTCCTCTCAGCCTTCTCTGTTGAAGTAGGTAATCAACTCTTTCGTTTCTTTTTTTGTCTTTTTTTTTTTTTTGTTAATAAGGCGGAATATCTTGGTTGGACCTTTTCATTGAAGGTCTAATTGAGAGTTTTGGATCTAACCTCTCACCACTCCTGCCTCTTTAGAGAATTCTAAAATTTGTTAGCGATGTTGTTTTCTGTAAAGTTTAAACCGAGTGCAATCTACAGTATAGAACTTAATAATGTGTGTAACATGCGTGGTAGCGTTTTTGCTATTAATTTATTTCTAGTTTATAAGCTTTCTGTGTGTATGTGTGCGCTGGGTGAACTGTACTAAAAAAGGAAGGAGGGGTTGGAGGAGGGGGGGGAAGGGAGGATAATCCGACCATCTATCCCCTTCCTTAAGATGCCCCCCCCCCTGATCCATCTCTAAACTTCACATTAATCGAAATTTATCGCAATGTTACCGCTGGAAAGTGGTACCTCTAATCCTATTAAAATTACTAACCAATTTGTTTTCACTAACGGCTGGCTCTTTAAGCAAGCAAACGCGGAAACAAATACTGGGAAACAGATGGAAATAACTTTTTCTCGTGTACTCCCCTAAAATTACGCTGGGGCAGAAAATGAAGAAACCGTTATGACACAAGGCTCTGATGCATCTCAACTGACTGCACCACTTTCCATCGCCAATACTAGCATAGTTATGCACTGACTACAGGTTACATTTCAGAACATAAGTTGTGAAGTTCACATACTTCCGTAAACAACGGTAATCTGAATTGCAGGATTTTTTTCCACAGTCGTTCACTGCAATACAGGTAGCTATCAACTAAATCTTTGACAATTCATGTAATAAATAACTTATGAAGTTGTGAAGTTTACATACCTCCGACAATGAGCTGCATTGTATAACGATTTTTGCCGCAATCGTTCACCGCAACACAGGTGTAAAAGCCGGCGTCCTCTTTCTTTACCTGTCTTATCTTTAGGTATCTGTAGGGTCTTAACCTCATACGTTGATGATCTGATGGAGTAAGTATCTGATTGTCTTTGAGCCAGTAATACTCTGGATTTAGAAAGTGACATATGTATTCGATCTGGCAATTGAGTTTTACATCTTTCCCGCTGTTCACTTTGATGACCTTTGCTTCGTCTCCTCTCTTTTCACGGATATAAGGCACTGAAGAAGGTAAGGTATTTCTGTAAATTACAGTTTTCCAATGATGAGACAGTTAAAAGTCCTTTTAATTCTTATAGCTCGTTTACATTTAAGTGCGCCTTAACCTCTATTTTTGGTACTCGATAAATCTTTGAATAGCAGTGGCTTAGCCCATCAGCGTGTGCGGGGAGGATGAACAATATTTATAACAATAGCTATCAAAAAGCCGATGGTATATGACTTGAACTTATTTCATTAGCTGTAACCAGCTCACTATCCACATGAAATCACTAAATAAATTTGCAAAGGTTCGCTGCTTGATATCCCTGGAATGCCTAACATAGGGACCGGTCACGGCTATTGTTCGCGGGAGATTGGGGTCGAGGAATTTTAGTTGTATCACACTGATTCCCCCC